AGGAGGAGGAGGAGGAGCAGGAGGGACGGATGGGAGATGTGAGGAGAAGGAGAGGAGCAGAGGTGTAAAGGGGAGGGGGCGAGGTGAGGAGGCTGGGACCCCTGGGGACCCCTAGATCACAGCCATGCTAATGAGGAGCTGCTTTGCCAGCAGCAGAGGTGTCAGCTAACCCCTGACAGGTGCACACACGCATACTCCCAGGGCTCGTGCCTGTGCGTGCACGTGCGTGTGTGTGCGTGCTGTGAGGGTGTGTGGGAGGGGCTGCAGGGGCAGGTTTGTGTCCCAGTGGCCTAGCCTGCGGGCGGCTTTGTTCTATATGCAAATCTGTCGCTGTGGTGTTCTGTCGCCCTTGATGGAATGTTGGAGCGGTACGGCGAACCTGAACCCCAGGAATGCTGCAGCGCACACACACGCGTGACATCGACTGTAGCACATCCTCTGCTTCCTGTAGCTACTACAGTGAAGCAACATTAGTCTGCATGGTCTAAACTTTGTCCTGTGGTTGTGATGTGTCTCCCCCTGCCTCCTGCCTCCTGCCTCCTGCCTCCTGCACAACTGTCCACGTCCAGTGAATGCAGCAGAGAAGTTGGTGGGCCGGCGTTCAAATGCTACTTATTTTCAATTATGATTTTTTTCTCCCTGAGCTTTGTGAGAGTTAATTTGGCATCAGTGAGCGTTCATTACCATCCACTCACTGCTCACTGTCAGCTGAGGAGCTCCAGTTTGCCCATCTTGTCGAAGGCTGAGCCTGTGTGGATTTTTGTTATTCTTCTGCGGTCTTATTATAAGTCCCTCCGGATTAGAGCATCTGATAATGGCCCCCAAAATGTAAGAGTAATGTAAATGGAGGGAGCTCATGCTTCGAAAGTATAAATCAAACTCAGGCCGGGGGGACGGCATATGTGAATTCCTAAATTAAACACAAATCCACATGTCTGCGCCGAACGCCTGGTGTCTGCCTCAGCCCCGCCAAGCTCACACCAACTTTCCTCCATTGGCCATATGCAAACAGTCAATACCGTGGCTCCCCTTCATTCACTGGCATTTTGTTTGTACTTTTAAGGCAAAATAATGGCTATAAAAGGCAATCTGGAAAGAATAAAATCTGATGTAAAGCTCAGATCTTAGTCCCTGAAGACTGGGTTAATTGGCCCGGTGGTTTAGTAAAAAAACCAACCCAGGAGAGAAGGAGAGCATTATTACTGGCCCACCTCAGCTCCACGCATGTGCCAATGTTTTAATAACTTCCTCCAGGCCTCCTGGCCCTTAGCCCTTGTTTTGTTGCACAGGACAAAGAGCTGCCCTCCAAAGCTGGTCCCGGGTCTGTGGTGTGTTTGTGTGTTTCATGGGAAAGTCTGCCTGGGCGGACACCTGGGCAGATACACGAGATTCAGACTATTTTAAGGGATTGTCATCATGCTGGAGTGTTTACAAGCAGCAAAATGACCAACACTGCTGAAATTCAGTTCATACTGCAGCAGCGTATCACAGAATCCTGCTGTGACTGTGTTTCATTTAACCTTTCATCTCAGCCCCATTCACTGAACACCGTGTGTGTGTGTGTGTGTCTGTGTGCATATGGCGTGCCAGAGTAAATTGGCCGATTAGGTCCAGCATCAGTGACTGCGTAGAGAGGAGAATGTAACTATTCTAACTGGTAGTTGACCTTGGCGGTCAGCAGTGGAGGGGTCCCTGCCTGCGTGTCAGGCAGACGACTGTAATTACCACAAACTGAAGCATGACACGGCCCACCGTGATTCTTTAATGAAGGCTTTTATTGGCTGGAGCACTGAGCGGCGACAACACTTGCATCTGTGGAAGTGTGTGAGCAGGAAAGAATGGAGCGAGGGTGACTGCGACTCTATCTATCTGTCTATCTATCTATCCCCTTTGTTCCAGGGAAACTAAGAAATATCAATAACTATCAATAACTGAGCTGCTTTAAAGTCTTTCAGTCCTTCATGACACGATCTTTGAATGAGCACAAATTCAATTATGCTCATTTATGAGACAACCTTTAACATCATCTTCTTTCACATGAGTAATGTGTATTATTAAACTGCTTTTAAAGCCTTTTTGCTACATGTAATATATCATAATTCCTCTTCTAATATCTATTTCATATTGCTGTGAAAACATCAGCAGCTGTATTTTTTCAAGTTTGTCACCAAAAACTACATTTAACAAGATTACATCTGAACAAATCATGAGAATGTTCTAATTTACCAGTACTCATTTTTACCTAATAGAGCCTAATGTAACTCAATTCAATCAGCTGTTAGGTCCAGGCACCAGCGGCTAACGTTAACTAGCTTACGATTATAGCTGTCTAGCTGTCCTTCTGACCCAATGCCATCTCCTTTAGCTGTTAGCCAGCTAATGGTAACTAGCTCCTCTCCTGCCGACACAATGCGACCTCTGTTAGCTGTCAGTTACAGCTGCCGCCAACAGCTGCTAACAGCTAAAAAATAACATTAACGAGCTTCCCTCCTGCTGACAAAATGCAGCCTCTGTTAGCTGTAAGTTCTGGCTAACAACTAACGTGAACTAGCTCTCCTTCTGCCGACTAAATGCCTACTCCATTAGCCAGCTAATGTTAACTAGCTCTTCTCCTGCAACCTCAATTAGCTTTTAGTTCCAGCCACCAGCTGTTAACAGCTAACGGCCAACATTGACTAATTCTCCTCTTGCCGACTGAATGCAACCTCCGTTAGCTGTTAGTTACAGCCACTGGCTACCAGCTGCTAACAGCTAACTTTAGCTTTCCTCCTGCCAATTTCAGCGCAGATTTGTTTTTCAGTGTCACATTAACAGAAGAACAATAGGGTGTGTTCCCTGATGTGACGACAGTGAGTTTATTGTGTCCTTTGGTTCTAAAGGTGTCCTGTTTGTCCCAAACATGTCTTTTATTGTCCCTGGGACGACTGGATGCTGTTAGTCTGGAGCTCTGCTTTTTACTATCTATCTATCTATCTATCTATCTATCTATCTCAGTCTCTTTCTTCTGCTCCCCTCCCCCCTCTTGCTTGCTTGTTTGGGAAGTTGATGAAATTTGTCTTTGGCCGTCATTAGGCAGCAGCCATCAGCTGCCACTCTATTAGCTGCCACGCTTCCTTTAACAGCATATGGCACGGCGGTGTAAGATATGACAAGATGCAAATGTGTTGCTGTAGTGGTGGTGGGGTGGAAGGTTGTGGGGGTGGTGGCGTACGGTCGGGCGGCTCGTATTGATGAGGCCATGTGTGCAGACCAAAATACAGATAAGAAGAAAAAACACAATTTGATAAATTGAGAGAGATCATCAATCCTTCACCCAATCTCACATCTTCATTTCATATTGATCCTCGTGTGTTGATGAGATTACACGGCTCCCACATCTATAGACCCCGCTCGCTCCCTGGGGGCATGTAAATACCCTCTGTGTGTGTGTGTGTGTGTGTGTGTGCCCAAGCACGTCTGGCCCTTAAAGTCCCTCCACCTCTCTTCTTACCCCCACTCCTCCTCCTCCTCTTCCCTTTTGCGCTCTCTTCTCCCCGTCCAAGCTGTTAAGCTGTCCAGCTCTCCGCTGCCAAGCGGCCGTGTGAAGCCTCGCCAAACTAAACACGGGCAGGCAGCCCGCCACTCGCCCCACACACATACGCACACACACAGGCACAAAAATACATCCACATACATGTCCGCACACATGCACGTACACACGCGTTAGTAGCAGGAGTCAGGTCATGTCTCACCCCACACAAACAGTGAGAGTGACGGCTACACCAGAGCGCCACTAATAGCAGAGAAAAACAGACAGAATCAGTAAATGAGCCCCTCATTAACTTTTTCTGACCCTGTCTCCCCCGGGGAAAGCCAAACCAATCACACCGCCAAATCAGCTTCCTGTACTAGACACTGATCCAACATCAGCTTTCGCTCATCTGCTCTGCACTGTACAAGTGTGTGTGCTGCGAGAGAGAGGCTGGAGACAGAGACGGAAAGTGAAAAGAGAATATTGCTGTATATCTGTGTCTGTGTGTGTGTTTTACATTCCAGGACAGCGGGTGGCTTTGAGGCAGCCATCTTGCTGTAAGGGCTCTTCTCTTGATCACACAAGACTTTTGGACACAAGTAACTTCTCCGTCTTTGTTTTCCCCCTCAGGGCTCTGAGCTCTGGGACCGCCGTACCAACTCGACTCCGCTTGCGGTAGCCGCTGATGATAAAGTAGATGCAGATGCAAGCAAACACAAGAGCGTGTTGAATGCTAGCCTGTGTTGAATTAGATGAATCCAGACCGAGGTTCTTTTTATGACTCATAAGCAGGCTGACAGGGCCGTGCCATCGTGACTGATAGATTCATTTGGCCTTATTAAGCCGTGCCATTTAAAGGGGCAATTTGTCAATGAGTGGCAGAGTTTTTCCGTATGTGTGTGTGTGTGTTTACAGTCACACCAAATCACTTTACTGTAGTTGTTATTACACCAGTGACGTAAAGCTTTATTTCATGTGGAGACCGGAGGGGTCTTTACTGTTTACACATCGTCTCCATCACCTCTGCTGTCTCTCCTTCTGTGAGTCTGTCTCTCTCTCTAATGCCACATCTCCCTCCCCTCCCTCCCCCACTCCCATATTTCCTTTTTCCCCCATTGGTGTGCTTTGTTTCCGCTGCTGCCTCCCCTGTCTCCATATGGAAATGACAGAGTAGACGAGATGGATCTGTATATTAAAGCCTAGCTGACATTAGAATTAGCATAATGTGTCGTGGCCTGAGGGCAGTACCTGCCATCTGCATTAGCCTGTAGACATACACACACTCTAAATTTCAAACACACACACACACACACAAAGACCCTCATACACTGACACAAACACAAAGTTCATTTTCCTAAACTCCACACATGTTCACACAAGTCAATAAGCATGAAAGTGCCGTAAAGTAACATGTCAGTTTAATTTTTATTATATTTTATTTCTGTTTCACAACATTAATGATAATTTTCTTTCTCTTTTCTCTGCACAGATAAAGATGAGCCGTCCAGCTACATCTGCACCACCTGTAAGCAGACCTTCACCAGCGCCTGGTTCCTGCTGCAGCACGCCCAACACACTCACGGCATCCGCATCTACCTGGACAACCACCCGGCCAGCTGCTCCCTCACTCCCCGCATGGCTCTGCCTCCGCCGCCGTGCCCCGACACCCTGCCCCGCTCCCCTCTCCCCACTTTCCTCAGCGACACCAACAACCCATTCCACCTCCTCCGCATGGCTGCACCCCTGCTCAGGGAACACCCCCCTCCCCCGGGGTACATGGAGACCCGGCTGCCTGCGACGCCGCCCTTTGTCAGCCCTCCCCCTCCCCCTAGACCCCCTCTAGAGCGGCTGGGCCCAGAGGAGATGGGGCTGCTGTCGCAGCACCCCAGTGCCTTTGAGAGGGTGATGCGGATGACCCCCATGGAGCCTCCTTCCATGGACTTCTCCCGACGTCTGAGAGAACTGGCGGGCAACACGACCAATAACGGCGGGCCCACGCCTCCTCTCTCACCCAACCGCGTGCCGCCCATGCACCGCTTGCTGAGTCCCACGCTTTTCCAGCCCGGCACCAAGCCCCCAGCCTTCCTCACCTATGCCCCGCAGCCACCCACCTCTCAAGGGGGACACGGTTCTTCCAGCCCTCCCGACAGCCAGGGTCAGAGCCAGGCGCCTGGGAAATCCAAATCCTGTGAGTTCTGTGGAAAGATCTTCAAGTTCCAGAGCAACCTGATCGTCCACAGACGCAGTCACACGGGGGAGAGGCCGTACAAGTGTCATCTATGTGATCACGCCTGTTCTCAGGCCAGCAAGCTGAAGAGGCACATGAAGACACATATGCACAACAAGTCTGGGTCCATGAGCGGCTCCCCAGAACAGGGAAACAGAGAAGAGGGAGGAGAGGGTGAGGAGAAGAACAGGGAGGGGAACACAAGAGGGATGGGGATGGACAATGAGGAGGAGGAGGAAGAAGAGGAGGAAGAAGAAGAAGAGGAAGAGGAAGAGGAGGAAGAGCTGAGGAATGGAAGTCGGCCAGACTCCAACTTAAGTGAGGACTCTCAGGAGTTCAGCCAGAACAGGGAGAATGGCCCGAGACAGTGTCCTGAGGATAAACCCCTGGGCGGGGACAGAGTAAGTGACGGTGGCGGGGTGGGCATCATGCACCCGTACAACCACCTGGACAATCACCTTAGACTTAACCCTAACAAGAGGAGCCTGGAGAGACAGCCCAACGGAGATGGCGGAGAGAGGGGTGAAGAAAGAGAGAATGAGAGGCAGCAGGACAGAGAGCAGGATGAGCAGGTGGGTCAGAGGCCCGTGATGAACGGCAGGATCAGCGTATCTGAAGCAGACTCCTTCCCCGGGCTGTTCCAGCGCCGGCCCACCCCCATCACCAGCCCGAGCCCCTCCAACAACAAGAGAATAAAGATAGAGAAGGAACAGCTGGATCTTCCTCCCACCTTACCCCTCATCTCCCCGGAGAACGTCTACTCTCAGCTCCTGGCTGGCTACGCTGCTTCACGCCACTTCATCAGAGAACCCTTCCTGGGATTCACAGATTCCCGTCAGTCGCCGTTCGCCACCTCCTCCGAGCACTCCTCCTCAGAGACAGGAAGCCTCCGCTTCTCCACCCCGCCAGGGGAGCTAATGGAAGGAGGAAGCGCCTCAGGCCGCAGCGGCAGCAGCACCCCTCACCTCCTGCGGGGACCCGGACCCGGCAGGCCCCCGAGCTCTAAGGATCGCAGGAACGACACCTGCGAGTACTGTGGCAAGGTGTTCAAGAACTGCAGCAACCTGACGGTGCACCGACGCAGCCACACAGGGGAACGGCCCTACAAGTGCGACCTGTGCAGCTACGCCTGCGCCCAGAGCTCCAAGCTGACGCGCCACATGAAGACCCACGGGCAGTTTGGGAAGGAGGTGTACCGCTGCGACATCTGCCACATGCCCTTCAGCGTCTACAGCACGCTGGAGAAACACATGAAGAAGTGGCATGGCGAACATTTGATGGCCAGCGAGGTCAAACTGGAGCAGGCGGACAGAGGTTAAGCCAGCAAACATTAGTTATACAGCCTACAGTGTACACAACACTCACACACACATACACAGACACACACACACAAACTCCCTATAACCACTTCTTCAGCTACGGGGCTTGGCTGGATAATCTCTCTCTCTTAAAAAAAAAATTGAGACTGATTGATGTTCATCTTTTTTTCTTGTCACAGAAACTGCCACCTGAGAATATAAACAAAGGGAAACTTTAATGAGAACTTGTCTGGAATGCACAACTTGGTGTTTCTTGGCAAACTGTCTGAGGATTTTATCAGTTAGGAATCCATGGAGCCTTTCTACTGTGCAATAATTTCTGTATTTATTGGATTTTTGTAATGATATTTGGCATGTGCAGGTACATCTTTGTGGGATTTCATATGGAGTTAGTTTTGAAAATGTGCTAAAACATTTTTCTTTTCTAAAAATGCGATAACTGGAAAGAAGTCACCCTTAATACAATTTTCTTTTTTCTCCTTTAAGGAAGCTTATTATCATGTGTGAGTAAAAATTGTGCAAAGCGGTTAGCTTTTTAAACTAAAATAAATAAGTAATTGTTTTCTATATTAACTGCAGCAGCGGACTACAATCCACTCCCTCATACAAGCACTGAATGTCAGCCTGACAATAAAACATCGTGCTGGATTTTAAAAATCCAACGTTATCTTAAAGACCTGATAAGTTGAATTTATTCAGGGAATTTGTCCTTTTAAATATTGGCATGTGAATAGTTTCAAAATGCAGTTACTGTATTGCTGTCCTCGCATCAGGACGTAAATAAAGGTTGCACTTAATGGAGGTACCCTTAAACTGATGCTCAGAACATTCCCAATGTAGGATTAAAATACCATATTTAATATGTTGACTAAGTTAAGACTACTTGTGATCAATGTGAGAAGGAGAACAGTCCTGTTTATGGTTTGTAAATATATTCTTTTTTTTCTCCTCTATATGTTAAAGTAGCCCCGACTGTACGTGAACGATGGCCTAAAATGAAACAATCAGAGGACCAGCTGCTTGCATCATCCACAGTATATGCTAAGTGTAACTACCATTCATTATTGCTTTATCAGACCCACTTGATTATCTCCCCCGCTCCCCCACCCCCACACGTGTGCCACCTCAAAGGCAATTTGTTAAAGCTACTTCAACAATTGTAACGCTTTCTAAATCACCTCCCTCTGCCGCGGCGTCTCTCTCTGACCCGGGTCGGCTTCCCGTGTCCCCCTCAGGATCCACAAAATGGCTCCAAATGAAATTCATATCAATACGTGTTAGCGTGTGTGTTCTTCTCTCCACAGCGTGCTCTAAGCCTCTCTCTCCGACGGCGTCTTTTCACAGTTCACTAGCTCAGATTCATGCATTAGAGCGGCTTTTAAAAGGGAAGCCTGTTCATTCGCCTCACAAAGTGATATGGGTTTAACTCCCAGTAACAGATTTTGAGACAGTGTGCGTGTTCGTGACTTTTGGGGATTACGGTTTTTATTTTCTGCATCGTTCATCCTGAAATGAATCTGCTAGAGAAAGAGAGAGGGAGGGAGAGAGGAAAAAAGAGGCTATATGAGTTATGATAATTTTGAGCACAGCTGCAACAGGGGGACGGCCGGGCGACCTTGAGTAGGGGCTATTCTTATAGTCAAAGTGAAAGATTGGAACGAGAGAGATGAAGAGATGTGAGAGAGAGATGGCGGGAGTGAGAGTGCGAGACCTTGACCAGGGAGAAGAGTCATTCAAATGAAATTGGAAGCATATGAAAAGTGTGTTTTTTTTTGTACCCAAATGCACATCTACAGTGGCCACATCTTATAACGGACCATCAGAGTGAGACAGAGTGAGCGTGAGAGGGAGGGAGACGGCGAAGCCACATGAAAGGAGATAGAGAATACATCTTTCACTTAGTTCTGCAGTCGTCACAATCATCCTCCAGTTTGACCTGCTTTTTTGGCCTATTGTCAGGTTTTATCTGTGCCATTTTTGTTTCAATAGAAACTGTGTCTTGAATGCAAATCCCCAATTTTTTTGATTTTTAGAAAGGCAGGAGGCCACAGCAGCTCTCTGTGAGCTAGGTGATGTATTTTAGCACATGAGAGCAAAAATGTAGACCCTGTTGTAAACGTGTTAATTCCAGGAGAGCTCAGTTCAGTGCGGCCAGAACGAGGCATTAAAACTATGAAATTCACTATCAAGGACCACACCTCAACAAGATGTGTTTAACAGGTTTGTTAAAGACAAAAATGAGCGATGTGTGAGGCTCGGACTGCTTGTAGCTCATCCACTTTGCCGGAATTTGTCGTAGCAGTCAGCCATGATGAACCCCCTCAGTAACCCTATGTAGAGGAGAGGAGGACATAGGGAGGGAGGGAGGGGCGATGAAGAGTGGAACAGGAGGTGTGGCTCATTTATGCTCAACATTAGATACGGACACAGATGGAGCTTTCCATATTTTCTGTTTTCCTAAAACTTACAGATACAGACAAAAGGGAGCAGTACCACCACAGGTCATGGCCGTGTAGCTTAGTTCAAGCAAGATACGATGTTAGGAGGTGATGAAGACATTTAAAAAAAAAGGTGGAACAGAGCGAACTGGTAATATAAGCCCCTTTTACATCGCCTCTTCAATTTCACGCCGTTATTTCACCTCACCATTCTTTACAAAAGCAACAATCATGGAGTGGGGGGGCAGAGTTGTCTCGCCTTTAAGCTGGCAGTGGAGGTAAAAACGGTGACAAAATGATGTCTGTGTCAAAGGGACAGCCGCCAAGATGGGGCGATGGATGGGACGGGCGTTTGACGACGTGTTGTATGTGTGACCTCCACCGGGAGATATAAAGAGCAGCTGATAGCAGTTAGCGGCTAACTAAAATTAGAACTAATGCCCACAAATTGGCAAAACAAGTAGGTGCAGGAGCTCCTTATCCTCCGAGCAGAGGACGAGATCAGCCACCGTGTACCAGGGATGGTAAACGACTGTTGTTGCCATGCTAATGCCATTTTAACTGTTAATAAAATGCTGCCACGCATATGTTATATGTCGCACTAGAGGCTGGCGCTGTTGTTACATGTCACGCCTGTCATGCTGTCTAAAATCACACACTGGAGCGGCATGATGCTGCTGTTGTTTGGCTCTGTGTAAAAATGCAAAGGCGGCGTAAAGAAGGGACTTTGTAGCCTCCCTCTTGCGCAGTCTCTGTGTAAAAAGGGCAGTAGCGGAAAGAATTCTGCGTCCACGTTGCCATGTGTTTAATCACCTCACAGACCTCTATTAAAAGGTGCATTAGTACGACCTCCTCCGCCACCGCCTCGTTAGTAGTGTGAAACTTTTGACCCCGCCCTCAAGTGCCATCATTTGACCGCATCTATGCCATTGTAAGGGACGCATGGAAGTATGAGGGCAGTTTGAAACGGACGTAAAGGGAGTATAAATGAGCCCAAATTATGCAGGAAGTGACACGGTTGAGGTGTGGTCCTGCTCCCGAAAATCCCCTTGCAAGCCTCAGTGTATCACATGCAAACAACGAACAGTTGAACCCCGACAGAGTCCCAAATCACACACGGACATTCAGTCTTACAATATGTTTACAGTGTTGAAGTACGCCATTAATGAAATACTCTGTGTAAGTGTTTAAAATGATAATAAAGTATTGTTTTCTCCAATGTTCTTTCAAATGTTTTTGGATGCCATAGCAGTTTTGTATGATTATCCTGGTGGAGGGATTTTATCTTCATGTTTCTGTATGATTACTTGTTCACTGTATGGGAAGACTTTCTTTTTTAAATGTAATATTGCAGAATCATGCCAGATTATTATTTTTTTTTCTAACAAGAGTGGTGCCATTATTGACTTTTGGTCTCTTTCTTTTTTTTTTTTTTGTTTTATATATTTAATTTTCTTTTGAATCCTGTTGTTGGTTTGGTGAAGCCATCCTCCATGGATGTAAAACAAAAATGATTTTTAAAAGAAATAATTACCAGAGTGAGATGATCCTTAAGGAAGAACCTTCGGCAGGGGAATAGAAAGCTTTGTGCGGGAAAATCCTTTTTTCCAAATCAATTTTTCGAGACATTCACAAACATGTTTTGTTTTGTTTTCCTCATGGTTGGTTGAAGGTCTTGTGACGGCACTTACAACTGTAATTTTAAATGCATTTTTCATATTTCACTTTTCACAACTTTCACTTACACTCTTTGTACAAAATAGTTTTCCTTGTTCTTTTTTTGGGGGGAGTGCATCATTGTGGAAAAAAGTGATTTCAGAACAGTACACATCTGCTGTTTTGAACATATATGTATTTTTGTAATGTGTTGAAAAATCAATACAAGAAAGCCAACACTTCAATAAATGTTGCAATTGCTCTATGATTGAAGCAACTTTTCATTCTGATTATTTCGTCTTTCTTTTTCTTCCACCGCCACGATTAATGACACACACACTGAAACAGCTGGAGACACGCAAAGGTTTTAGTTACAACTAGAATACAAAACTCTGTCTTTGATTTACCACCATTCCTTATGAATCAGTTTGTTGGGACATAAAAATAAATGTTTTAGCAACTTCTGTCAGCGCCTGAGCAAAAACAACATCGTTACTTAGTCAGCATTCCTCAAAAACTTTGCATCCCACACAGATGAATGATGCATACATATACTATCAACAAGGTAACTTACAAACCATCAGAAACTGCTGCTAATAATTTAATATGACTTCTAATTTGATGTCGACTTTAGAGGCTGTTTTACTGCAAACTACCAGCCAACAGTGGCAGGATTTAAACTTACATAGGTTTATTAAATCTGTACAAAACATGCAGAAATCAAACACAACCTACTGCATCTTACTGATTATTATTTTTGTGTATACTGGGAATTTAGAGATTTAGAGATCATGGTTTTACACACGCTCCAAAATGGAGGGTAAAATGAAGCGTGAGATGGATCTGCGGTTTGGCGCAGCTTTCTGCAGTGACGCAGGCGTTGTGCCGGACCGCCATGGTGAAGGTGAAGCTTTCGATTTACTAGTCCATCTACGTCCCAACCCTCACCTATGGTCATGAGCTCTGGGTAGTGACCGAAAGAATGAGGTCGCAGATACAAGCGGTCGAAATGAGTTTCCTCTGTGGGGTGGCTGGGCTTGGACATCCAGAGGGAGCTCGGAGTAGAGCCGCTGCTCCTTCTTGTCGAAAGGGGTCAGTTCAGGTGGTTTGGGCATCTGATCAGGATCCTCCTGGGCGCCTCCTGTTACAGGTGTTCCAGGCACGTCCCACTGGTAGGAGGCCCCGGGGCAGACCCAGAACACACTGGAGGGATTATATATCTCATCTAGCCTGGTAAAACCTCGGGGTCCTCCAGCTGGAAAGCGCTGCTGGGGAGAGGGACGTCTGGGGTGCTTTGCTTGGCCTGCTGCCCCCGTGACCTGACCTCAGATAAGCGGATGAAAATGGATGGATGAATAGTGGATGAGTTTTACACACACCTTAAGATGCAACCTAGACACATCATCAGTGATGTAACTTGGGGTCATCAGTTAGCCGCTAACTGCTATCATCAGCGATGCTTCTGATGGCTCTCTTGCTGAGCAGTCCTCTGACCCCCAGCAACCTGGGGGCCCTGTAGAGCAACTGGCTGGCAAATCCTCCGCAACCGAGGTAGCATCAGGTCTGCCATCCCCTGCTCCGGCATTCACCTGCAAACTCCTCATACTTGGCCTTCTTCCTCTCAAACACATCTCCCATCCGGTCCCCCTGGGGGCTGTCTCTCCAGGTCAACCTTCAGCTGAATCATAAAAATATACACGTCTGAAATATAACACGTATAGGAGAGAGTGGGGTTGGCTGGGACCAGTGGTGTAACATATCTAAGTAATGAGTATTTTTTGGGCGTATCTGTACTTTAGTTGAGTTTGTATATTTCTGTCAACTTTCACTTTTACTCCACTGCATTTCCTAAATTAAACATATATATATACAGTACAGGCCAAAAGTTTGGACACACCTTCTCATTCAATGCGTTTTCTTTATTTTCATGACTATTTACATTGTAGATTCTCACTGAAGGCATCAAAACTATGAATGAACACATGTGGAGTTATGTACTTAACAAAAAAAGGTGAAATAACTGAAAACATGTTTTATATTCTAGTTTCTTCAAAATAGCCACCCTTTGCTCTGATTACTGCTTTGCACACTCTTGGCATTCTCTCCATGAGCTTCAAGAGGTAGTCACCTGAAATGGTTT